TATATATATATATATATATATATATATATATATATATATATATATATAGTTTTTTTCGTTTTTTTTTGTAATATTTTATATATTTATTTATTTTTTTCTTTTTTATCGAATTATTTTTGTGATCATAAAACGAACGCACTTCTCTTCGAGAGCGAAGAGGGAGAGGAAAAGTGATTAAACAAAAGAAATGAAATGAAATTAAAAGAAATTCTAGCTCACGGAAACACACAGGATACGCATTCTGTAATAGCTGAAAATCACCTGTAGGATTATGATACATAAATCCAGTAAGCAAAGTAACTTGATATGATTATAATGATAATAATAATAATAATAATAATAATAATAATAATGACAAAGATAACAATGATGATAATAATGATAATAATAATGATAGTAATGAAAATAATAATAATAACAATAATGGTGATGTTGATAATGATAATGATAATGATGATGGTAATAATGATGGTAATAATAATAACAATAACAATAACAACAACAAAACAACACTAATAATAATAATAATGATAATAATAATATTGATAATGGTAATAAAATACTAAGATCTAATAAAAATGATACATATAAAAATAGAACCAGCATATATCAATAATGCAAATTATATCAACCCGAAATCCAACGTTGCAACAGAGAACTACACTACATTCCACACACACACACACACATATATATATATATATATATATATATATATATATATATATATATATATATATATATATATATATATATTTAACTTATATTCATTTATTCATATTACTCCTATTCAATTTATTTATTTAACGCTCGCACGATCCATTCGCCTAGTCTCCGCGTGTTCGGAAGTCAACAACAGTACCGACCTTTAAACTCAATACCAGAACAAGGAAAAACATTTCTTCCTTTATCAGTTATGCATGACTCAAACCCCTCTGGCGGTACAATGCTCTGACATCACATAAATCACCTTTGGCATGCGGAGTGTGTCTGTCTGGAGGGGGGGTGGGGAGGGGAGGGGGAGTCTACAACCTGTGTAAGGATAAAGTGAAAGAGCGTGCCGAAGGTGTATTTACTCGTGACCGGAATGCAAGATTGAAAGTTCCTTCCCGACCTCCTCGTGTTCAATTCCAAGACGAAATGGTATTACTTTTTATTCGGATTGGTTGGGAATGATATCAATTTTCAAAGTTAGATTAGCTTTTTGGCAGTCGAGTCGGAAAGGAGAGTAAGAGAATTGTTGATACAAAGAAAAGCAAAAAGGAAAAAAAGAAAAGAAAAAGAAAAAGAAAACAAAAAAGGCAATTCAATTTGAATAAACAGAGTTCCAGAGTCTTGTATTCAAATGAACCGTAGTAAAATAACTGTCTGGGTATGGTAGTTTCGAAACTTACCGAATACATCATCAGGAACAGCGACTGAGCATAAATTAACCTCATGTGATCTAACATGATATATTCCCCCCCTCCCCCCCCCCAAAAAAAAAGAAAAAAACAAAAACAGAAAGACAATTTTAAGACATGTAATAAATTCACCAATCTCTCATTTTTACAAAGTGAAAAAATTTGAAATAATAATAAAAAAAAACCTGTTTTCGACGCGGACCCAGAACTAACGTAAACATTATGCAGAAACTTTTTAAGATGAAGCTAAGACTCCAATGCAGCTGTTCATGTTAATTTGAGATAAAGTGTCGTTATATTACATGTTAGAATAATGATAACGATAAGAATATTTATGGCGATAAATGGTTACGATGATGATAATAATGATGATGGTGATGCTGATGGTGAAGATGATTTTGATGGTGATAATGAATGTGATGAGGATAATGATGGTGATGATAATGATTATGGTGATGAATGTGATGGTGATGGTGAATGTGATAGTGATGATTGTGATGATTCTGACGGTGATGATGGTGATAATGATGATGATAGTGATGGTGATGATAATGATTATGGTGATAAATGTGATAGTGATGATGAATGATAGTGATGATGGTGATGATGATGGTGATAATGAATGTGATGGTGATTATGATGGTGATGATTGCGATGGTGATGATAATGACGGCGATGATTGTGATAGTGATGATAATGATGGTGATGATGGTAATGATGAATGTGATGGTGATGATTATGGTGATAGTGATGGTGGTGATGAATGTGATGGTGATGATGATAATGATGGTGATGATGATGGTGATGATAATGATGGTGATAGTGATGATAATGATGATAATGATGGTGATAGTGATGATAATGATGATAATGATGATGGTGATGCTGATGGTGAAGATGATTTTGATGATAATGATGGTGATAATGATTATGGTGATGATTAATGTGATGGTGATGATGGTGATAATGATTATGGTGATGATTAATGTGATGGTGATGATGGTGATAATGAATGTGATAATAATGATGGTAATGATTGTGATAGTGATAATAATAATGGTGATGATGATGGTGATGATAATGATGATGGTGATGAT